TAAAAGCTAAAAGAAGCAGAACAATATCTCCAAGCTACTAAAAGAAGCAAAATACGGTTAGAAAATAGCTACAAGCTAAAACCAGCAGAACATTAGATGAAAGCTAAAAGAAGCAGAACACTAGCTACAAGCTAAAACCAGCAGAACATTAGATGAAAGCTAAAAGAAGCAGAACACTAGCTACAAGCTAAAACCAGCAGAACATTAGATGAAAGCTAAAAGAAGCAGAACACTAGCTACAAGCTAAAACCAGCAGAACACTAGCTACAAGCTAAAACTAGCAGAACATTAGATGAAAGCTAAAAGAAACAGAACACTAGCTACAAGCTAAAACTAGCAGAACATTAGATACAAGCTAAAGAAACAGAACACTAGCTACAAGCTAAAACTAGCAGAACATTAGATGAAAGCTAAAAGAAGCAGAACACTAGCTACAAGCTAAAACCAGCAGAACATTAGATGAAAGCTAAAAGAAGCAGAAAGCTAGAGAACTAGTGAATCATGTTTTCCAGCCTTTTCTCGGACAGAATTAGTTTTAACTCAGAAGCTAACTGTTGTCGGCTCGTTTCCATCACAGATTTGTCGCCAGCATCTCAGACGTGTTTTCGGCTCGTGTCAGAACATGTCGTCCTGTTCAGACGCATCAAGAATCCTTTTCATCCCGAGAGAAGAATTCAGAATTCCTTCATCTCRCAGATCATTTCACCTCCATCGGTCTGCTGGAGACGTTTCTGTGAAAGCAGACGAAAAGGAAAGTTACAGTCGGCTGTTTGCAGATCAGCTCAGATSTCAGATGAAGCTCTCCCTCATGAGCCGAACGTTGTCTGAAACTCAGCTGATTGTGGAGATTGTGTGGAAGACTAAACGTGTCCATGCTCCGTCACCGAAGAAAAGATCTTTAATTTTATCTTTGAGACGAGAGGAAGAGGAAACACCGACAGAGAGGCTTTTTATCGGTTTCACACAGAGTCTGTCGACTTGTTCCTTTGATGATTTAAAGACAATATTTTATGGTTTATTTTTCATGTTWCTCTCTGTAAAATTAAGAAAATAAAAATGATTTCTGTCTTTCAGACTTTGAAGATGAGGGTGTGGATAGTCTTCGTCCTGTGCCTGGCCGGCCACGCCTTGGCTGCTCCTGTGAGTCTTCCTGTCTTTGTGTCTCAGTGTGACGGTCCATCCTCGAGGACTTCCTGTCTCCGTGTGTCTTAAAGTCTGTTTACATCAAATGTTTATTTTCCTTGAAGACAACAGTTTGTGAGAACGAGGCAGAGGTCAGACACCTTCCATCAGTTTTTACCAGATCAGTATGTCGTTGACAGTTTCAGGTCCAAATCCACCTGCTTTACCTCCTGACCCAGTCCAGACAGCCAAGATTCAATGAAAACATAAAAACTAGGATTTTTAACTTGAAACTGAGCAGTTTTAGGGCTTATACAGACAGAAGCAGCAGATTTTGATTTAACAGAAGACTTGCTAAAAACCCAGGACCCACAAATTAAAGGGAGACCTTCTCCTGATAGGATTTACATACAAACCTTACAGACACCTCCTTTATTATGGAGGACCGAAACTGACATAAATAGAAATAAAAGCAAAAATAAATAAATACACTTAAAATGCACCAATTAAATTTCAAAAAGGATAACTTTACCTCATGTTTTATAATATAATAGTGTGAAAGCCTCCAGCATTCACACTATTGTTTTCATGTTTCTCTTTATTCTTCATCAGTGTGCATTGCCAATGCACACTATTGTGATTCGTTTCCCATCCAAGTCATCTCAACKTTGCCATGCTTCTCCTCCTGCATACTTTGTCCTAGAGCTGCCAATGTAATTTATTTCCGTAAAGCTCCTGTGCCAAATGATGGCTATGCATTTTGGTGCCTGTAAAACTTATAGTTTTTGAAATTTTAATG